GTCGGCTCGACTTCGTTCCTTCTTCGAGTTGCCGTCCAAAATGTCTGCCCAGCAGCAACCGACCAACAAGCCCTCGCCCGCAGGGTCCATCACGTCTTCGGACCACGCGGGCGCAGACTCCAAGACCGGCACCGGCAAGGATGTCCGAGACGCAGTTCCCCCGACCGCCTCGGCTTTGGCTACACAGCAGACTCAGCGCATGGAAGCCGCGCTCGGCGACGCTATCCTTCGCTTCTTGAGAATCCGGAAGGGCCCCAAAGCGGAAGAATACGACCTTGACGCCGTAGGTCATCTTCACGGTACATCAACATCTGAACGTTTAGCTGATCTGCAGCATCAAAGATTGCGACACAACCGAGCATCTGGGATTCCGAGAATTTGGAAGAGTACAAGGAGGCTTACATCCACCCGCAATGGGAGAACAAGGAGGCTTTCGACCCCTCATTCCGCTGGACCTGGAGAGAAGAGCGGCAAGTGCGACGCAAGGTTGATTGGAAGATTATGGTGAGTTTTGACGAGCATCGCACAATGCCTTTGGTGAACGCGACTGACTGACTTGCAACACTCAGGTCTGGTGTTGCGTCATGTTTGCTGCTTTGAACATTGACAGAAACAACATCAACAACGCCGTTTCTGATGACATGCTCCCTGATCTTGGCCTCACTCGCGGTGACTACGTGAGTACATCCGCCAATGTTTCGGGTCCCTTACAATGTTAACACAAAGAAGAACCTTGGCCAAACCATCTCCCGAGTCGGTTTCCTTGTTGCCGAGCTTCCATCCCAGTTGATCTCCAAGCGGTTCGTCAATATGGGCCTACAAGTAAATATGAAGCCCATCTGACCTCAATAGTATCGGCCCGGATCTGTGGATCCCAATCCAGATCTGTCTTTTCAGTACCGTTTCCGGCCTGCAATTCTTCCTGAAGGGACGGGCGTCATTTCTTGCCACCAGATATCTGATGTAGGTTATGTTGTACCTGGTTCTGCATGACACTTTTTTGACTCGGACGAATCTAGCGCTACCTTCCAAGGTGGCTTCATCCCTGACACAATTCTGTATCTTAGCTATTGGTACACGGGCACGTCTGTGAGTAACTCCAGTAGATGGCAAAGCTTTACGGGCTTTTCGCTTACTCTAACTTAGCTTCCGATTCGCCTAGCCTGGTTTTGGATGTCTTCCCAAATTGGTAAGTGGTGCAACCAAGGACACGGTTCAGTTCAGCAGCTCACATTCTCTGCAGTTGACATTGGTGTGGGTTTTGCCGCGGTCGGTCTTCTGTCTATGAGAGGTATCTTGGGCTACGAAGGCTGGAGATGGATGTTCCTCATTGAGTGAGTTGTTCTGCTTCGAACCACCGAGTCCTGTACTAACTCTTGACTTCAGGGGCTGCTTTACGTTCAGTGTTGGACTGCTCTCATTCTTCCTGATGCCGCAATGTCCCGCCCGAACGAGGAGCTGGTGGAACCCCAAGGGCTACTTCAAGGAAAAGGAAGTTAAGATCATTGTCAACTCCGGTGAGCATCCCACGTGCTTCAACTTTACCCAGAACTGCATCTAACCTCAGTATCACACAGTCATTCGTGATGACCCCCAGAAGGGAGGTATGTACAACCGACAGGGCCTGTCCGTCAGGCAGATCTGGGAGTGCTCCAAGGACTACGATATGTGGCCGCTGTACGCCCTTGGCCTGCTCTTCGGCTTGCCCAAGTATCCGGTCAACCAATACCTCACTTTATCCTTCCGCGGTCTCGGTTTCAACGTCATCCAGACCAACCTGCTTTCGATCCCGAACATCGTTGGTTCCAGTATTACCATGCTGCTCATTACTGCTTTGAGTGAGCTGGTGAACAATCGGAGTTTTGTGTCGATGGCCGAAGATGCTTGGTTGTTGCCTTGCTTTGTGGCGTTGATCGCGTTGCCGGACCCCATCAGCCCATGGGCATACTTCGCGATCGCCACAGTTTTACTCTCATTCCCCTAGTGAGTGCTGGATTGGCTGATAAAGGCTGCATGAGCTAACAAGGCCTAGCACCCACCCCATTCAAGTGGCTTGGACAAGTAGAAACGCAGGTTCGGTGCAGAACAGAACGGTGTCTGCCTCGTATGTCTCTCCTTTCTCTTTTGAAGTCGTCGCTTCGCTGACCCATCCTTAGCCTTTACAATATGTGGGTGCAAGTCTCGGGCATGATCGGAGCGAACAGTGAGTCTTAATTGTCACCCGCGTGACGGCAGGAGATTAACCTTAGCCACCAAGTCTATCAATCCAATGATGCTCCGCGGTACTTTAAGGCAAACAAGGGCCTTTTGGTTATCTGCATCTGGATGTGTGTAAGTCATCTCCACCCCTACGCTTGGTAAGATTAGGTGCTCAGGTTGTTTGCAGGTTGTTCAATACCCATTCACATTCTTTTACTACCGATGGAGAAACAACCAAAAGGCCAAGGTTTGGGACGCTATGTCCCCAGAAGAGCAACACAACTACAGGACCAACACGACGGATGTCGGGAACAAAAGGTGAGCTACCTCCCGCTTGCACCTTGAACTTTGACTGAATAATGTTGCTAACGCGTTACCCAGGCTCGACTTCCGCTTTGCAACGTAGACTCCGAAATTCTACTGTTGTATATCTCGGCGGCGAACCGACAGTGTTCGTCTCTTGTCTTATCGCAGTCTTGGATTCATAGACGGCCAAAGAAGAAAGAAGCGCGCGGTCTATGGTCTTCCCCATATAGAATCAAAATGTCTTTCATTGTCTGACGAACAAGTCCATTTCACGAGTTATGAACGGGGACATTTGCCCCGGGATTATTGTCAACCTATGCCGTAAGCTGATCCTTGCCAGCTGTGTCTCATTCCTTCAACCGAGCCGGCGGGATGAGTGATCCATGGTAAAATCACAGACGCAGGCGCCAATTATTGAAGTCTTGTTATTGTAACGCGCGCGTCAAGATTAACTCCTCACTGAAACTCTCTTGCCCCTTCTCCAGGTGGGACAGCCCTTGCTTGGCTGCTCAGCTGAATCTTTAAGGCTTTGAAACAGGGGCGGTTGGGGTAGCACCAGCACCACTGCAAGGTGTCCGCGTGTAACCGCAGCCCTGTAAAGTCAGTTTGATGTCCCCGTAACTCTAATAACGTATGGTGATATTCCGACAGACCCGCGAAAAAAGAAGGCTTTTCGAAGATTCCACCCGGGATTCTTGCGGATACGTCTTGCGGGGGCCTGCTAACCGATGGCTTGGAATGAACTCGTCAAGGGTAACTGATTCTCAGTTGATCTGTTTGAATTAGCTCTCTTCTTATCGGGTGCTCGTGTGGCTCGTATTCAAGGTGATCTCACCGTTGCACTTCTTTCCCACTAAGTGTGCACATTTGCGTACACAAGTGCACTCATCCAGCTTCCGCGCTCTCCTGTTGAGCGCTTGAACGAGGCTTTCCGTATGCGCTCGGCTCCAAGTTGAGGTGACTTGAGATGTCAAGAGAATAGCTTTTGCCGTGCAAGTCTCCTCCATATTGCTTGCCAAGGCCCTGGGATGGGTGTGTTGAGGCTTAGCTGGCCTCCATAGGGCAGGAGCCTCTGGAGCATTCCGAAGTGCCAAGTCCGCTCATGCCGTGCGGGAGGCTCCGCTGCTCCTATCTTCGGGCTGCTGCAAGGTAGCAAAAACAATGCAACGGAATGGTTCAGCAGGCAAAATAGGCTGCCCCTGTCAAAGACAGGATTTGCAGATTTCCGCTCGTGAGCGACCGGCTCAAGCCAAGCGAAATCTGGAGTCATGAACCCTGTATGTCGACTGTCGTCCCATTGTGACACATGCCATAAAGCATTTCTGATGGTTGCGCGGTAAGCTTAGTTTGGCACTAGGTTTCGCAGGGATGTTGGGGTCTGCCACCGAGAGTGTCGTACTCCTCGGGGTCAGCGATGGATGCTACGCAGCAAAACAACGAGTACCCATCGCCAAGATGTTTGGAGAGCAATGTTACGATAATCATGGAGAGATGGTAAACAGGCCATGTTCATTTGCCAGTATAAAGCGTGGTCGAACCCGCGGCGACTATCTTATAGACTGCTTCCATCCCAGCGACAACTTTCTCATTCTTCTAACCAACCAGACTTCTTATTCTTCTTCAATCTGCTGCGCAGAAACTTTCAATCCAATTTTTCATAATGAAGTTCTTCTCCATCATCATCTCTGCTTGCGCCGCTGGCGTCCTCGCACAAAACGGGTATGTAAAGGTGGTCGGCCGCGCTGTGCCTCCTTTTTCGATTGCGTTTGAAGTCTGCGGGTTCCTTGGCTTTCTGTGGCATATAGAACAAAAAAGCCTTTGCCAAAACCACAAGCTAACCCAACTTTTCTCCAACAGCTGCGGCTTCCCCGATGGACCGGATTGCAAGTCCCTCGGCAAAGGCGCCAACGGTCTCGAACAATTCGCCGATCCCGATGGATGTTGTCTGTTGCCCCTTCGTTGCGGCAACGGAGATGGTGGCGAGAGATGCGAGCGCGTGAGCGGCGCTAGTGCGGGCAACACCGGTAACAACACCAACACTGGCAAGAAGACCAGGAAGAACAACGGAAAGAGAAGACTCTAGGCAACCAGCATACTGGAGCGACAAATAAACCAACAAGCTCAGAAACAGAGCTGATGGTGTCGCACAAGCACCTCATGAACAACTCAGACAGTCTCTCTTTCCTAGATAATTCAAAGTGATAGGTCGAAGGGACTTTTAAAATCAACTTTTTCTACGTCGCCAAGGACCTGAACTTCAAATATAACATATACCACCCGTGATGGAATTGTTTATTTGCCAATTAGTCTCTATAGGTCTCCCTTTGAAGTTGTAATACTATAGCCTGTCTATTTCCTGGGCTATTTCTTCGCTTCCAAATACAATTCATACTCGCAGCTTGAGAATAAGAAAGGCGCAACTCCTTTGAGGTCTGACTCAAACAAAGGCTGGCTTGCATAGTACTGGGGACATGTTAGCATGTGCTTGTTGAGAATTAGAAAGAGAGCTTTCTCACCTCGAATGTGCCGTTCGAGCTCAGACTACCAGTCTGGACAGTCCACTCGTATAGAAGGGCATTGTCGTTCTTGCGGACCTCGGCAAACGTGTCCGTCATGAGCTTGTAACCATCCAGAGCAGCTTTCAGATATTTGTCCCCTGTGATGTAACCGAGACGCACACTCTTAAGCAAGCCATAGACGAACATGGAAGAGCCTGAGCTCTCGATGTAGTTGCCCCACTGGCCCTCAGTGCCGGGAGTCATAACCAGCCACCATCCCTTGGTCTTCTTGTCCTGCGCTGCGACAATGGCATCGGCGACGGACTGCAGGTACTTCAGCAAGCGCTCACGACCTGCATGGTTCTCTGGGAAGAGTTCCAGGGTATCAACCAGGGCCATGATGTACCAACCGACTGCACGACCCCACACATGCGGGGAGGCACCGGTCTCGGGGTCAGCCCAGATAGCCTTCTTGCTCCAATCAAAACCATGAAGCGGGAGACCATTGGTGCGCTCACGCTCGGAGATGGTTCCGGCGTCAATGAGGTCGTACTGAAGGGCAATGTCGTCCCAGGCTGTGGAATTATCGGCATCAAATTCATGGGTCCAGCGAGCATAGTACACATCTAACATGTAGATGCCATCCAGCCACATCTGATCGATGTAAACGGGGTACCTATGGTAGAATCCTCCGGTGGGCGTGCGACCAGTGCGATCGATCTGGTTGCGAAGAGTCTGAGCAGCTATCTTGTATATCTCGTTCCCAGTGAACTTGTACAAGTCGAGGAACGTGTGGCCGAAACGAATGTCGTCAATGGAGTTGCTGTTGTTATACAGAAGGATCTCTCCATTCCATGCCGGATATAGAATGACATCTGCATAGTGCTTGACATAGTTGTAGTACTTCTCATCGCCGGTTCGGTTGTATGCCAGAAGAATGCCGGAGTAGTATGCTGAAACGGTATAGGCGAAGGTGGGTTCAACGCCGTGCTTGATCTGGGAATCGGCCATCCACGTAAGGTATCGGGTCTCCCCTTTGAACTTGGATGTCTTGATCTTCTCGTCCGGTGGAACTGTGAACCATCCACTTGGAAGGGAAACGGAAGCGGCTGCGAAGGTGGCGCCCGCCAACGCAGTCGTGACAAGAGTTGAGACCTTCATCTTAAAGGTGGACTGCAGGCTTGATACTGCTGCGAAGTTCTCCGATAGACACGATGGGGTGCTTGCCGTTCTATGAAAAAGTTGCCTACTTGTACCTTCGCTTATTTATACAAGTTTCCAGCCATGTCAAGCTACCTCGACAGAACTCGTCAATCTCGTGAAGTCGCAGCCGACAAGGTTCCCCTCACTGACCCAAGATCGGCCAAGACCCTGCGGTCAGTCTTCTTCTGCTTATCCGACGCATTGTCTTGAGCTGCAGCTGCGTGTTCCATTGTATGTCTGCCGTATGCTTGAACTAGTAGAGAAGACATCATCCTACGCCGAGTACCGAGCAGCTTCATGCTGTTCCACAGGGACGGAAAAGCAGACCCTGGCTTAGACTGCGGGGTCCAGGGTCGGTCTTTGCGGGGAAGCCATTGCGGGAGCTACTCACGACGGGGAACTCAATGAGCTTACCTTGATGCTTATTTGCACCCTAGAGCTCACTGAGAAACTTTCCTTCGTGAAGTTTGTACCTTTTTTGAACGACATACCACTTTATCAACGCATTGATAGCTGGCTCGCCTTATGGAACGGACGAAACACTGTAACATCCGTGGATACTGCAGCCGATTCTTCCATGTCGGCATTCAAATCTGTCTGCGAGTAATCACGGATGCCGGCACAGCGCAGCTGCAGTCAAACGAGAGCGGGAGGTGAGTGCCAGTCGAAAGTGCGGCTGTTCCCAAAAGCCCGTCAAAAGCTTCCTAATCTCTGTGATCGACTCCCTGGAACAATTTATACACCAATCAGCGCTTTATCCCGGATTGGAAGATCAGGCCCTATCTGGCGGGCGAATCGATTTATTTCCCTCGGTTGTTTGTTAGACCGGACTGACTGCGTCAGATCCTTGGCACCATGTCCAATGTGACTGGGCAGCGACGCCTTTCATATGAAAAGCCCTGCAGCATCGCCATTTTGCCAAGACAATGACCTGAGCCGTTGGACACCGCCGAATGGTACTTTGAACTTATCCGCCCAGCAGGTGATGCGTTGAAATCGGGTCTTTTCCGCGTCAATCGATGAAAACGTTGGCTCCACGTACGTCCAAAAATGTACCCATTTTGTGTCGCTAGCAAAATCTTCAGGTTATAAAAGTATGCTAAGCCCTGCTGGTTTTTGAATGGCTGTTCAGATCAGCCAAATAATTAATGTAGACAGATTCTTCGGAAGCCTATGGTGTCGCGCTGTCATCTATTCAGCCATATGCATCAGGCCATTTTCCACAGAAGTTCTTCAAGCATGTCATTGTGAAATCAAGGCTCTGTTCTGAATATCTTTCTTACGGTCAGTTCCATGAAGGTGTAATTACGACCTCCGTGTTCGCTTCCGAAGCTCCGACCAAATGCCGGTTTGATGGGTCTTGCCGGCGATTGCCGGGAACGGGCAAATCCGCCGGCCATGATTAAGCATGGGATACTCGGTCGAAGTCTTTCTGAAAGCCTGCGCACATTCTCCGCAACAACGGCACTCTTCATTATCAACTTTGCAGTCTAGAATTGTCGGTATCAATTCTTCAAAATGAGTGAAACCAGGAAGATCTATCAGCCCATTCACCCATCTGTCCGCGAGAAGCTGGACCCCGAGTATGTTGCTCTCCATGACAGCATCATCCAATTCATAGAGCCTTCAGAAGCCCAGCCATGGGATCCATCTTCACGCTATAATCCGAATCCTCTTGCGCATACCATGCAGACGCTATCTCGAGTTGGTAAAACCTGGGATGAGGAACTCGGTGGCGGCATTCAAGTCCGCGTGTTTGTGCCTGAAGGCGAAGCGCCCCCAGGAAGATGGCCATGCTTAGTGTGGCTGCACGGAGGTGGTTGGGTCAACGGGGGATTAGACAGTGAGAATGGATTCTTGACGCATGTTTGCAAACGTGAGCTCCCGTTCTGAAGATGCGAGGCAGGTGTTAACAAAACGTAGACGTCAGATGCGTGGTTGTCACCATCAATTATCGCCATGCCCCCGAGCACGTCTATCCCGCCGCTGTAGATGATTGTCTGACTGGACTTAGATGGGTGGTTCAGCCTGCTAATGCATCGCGTCTCAATATCAACACCTCTCTTCTGACAATCGGCGGTCTTTCGGCGTAAGTGAACCATCGTGTGATCCTGTCCTCATTCTGTTACTGATAGTAACAGCGGTGGGGGCCTTGCTGCTGTTCTCACAATGAAAGCCTCTCTAGAGAACGTGCCACCAGCCCCCATTTCTCAAATTCTCATATGTCCTGTCATTGACAGTACTGCCACAGTAGAGACTGTGTGGTCCTCTTCCAAGCAGGTTCCCTGGCTTACGCCTGGACGAATGACTTGGTACCAAAACCTCTACTTCCCGAACCATGAAGACAAGAAAAACTGGGACGCATCGCCATGCTTTGCACCCAAAGACATTGTGGCACGAAGCCCAAAGACCTGGATTGCTATTGCCGAGATCGACCTCCTAGCGCCCGAAGGTCTCAAGTACGCAGAGCAACTAAAGGATGCCGGTGTCGAGGTCGAAACCAAGGTTTACATAGGAGCCACGCACTCAGTGCTGATTCTTTCAGGGTAAGATGTGAAAGCTCAAACGTTCTCTCCAGTTACTGAAACTTTCCACAGCGTACACCAGATCAGCCAGCAGTTAGTTCATGATGCATGCAGAACGCTTGCCGATGGTTTCGGTTCAACATATGATCCGTTATCGGCCCCCATTTGTTCTCAGGCTTGATAGTAAGATTGGGTTATCATTGGATCATCCATAGTCTTGGAGTTTTACCAATCACGACTTCAGTGTGAACTTGTCATTCGTTTTTAGCCTCAGACCGGTTTGCAGACAAATCCAAGTAACTCGACGACTTTGAGGGGCTTAGTTGTGTGGGTCAAGATGAAATCGTCGAGGCTGAGAGGGGGAGAACAAGTTCCGATGTGTAGCTGTCCTGAGTTACCAGAAGGAGAATTGAAATTTATGATTGAAAACCAGTTCCATCTAGTCGTGTTTAATATTTTTAAAAAGGAAACCAGGAAATGGTGTCAACAAATCCCACCCAACCCATAGATCATTATCATCGCCCGTGCGTCTCAGCTGCCAACAATAACGTCTTCAACTCCGCAAATCGTACCGGCTTCGGCATAAACACATCAATACCCACAGATTCGGCGTTCCTTCTTGCGTCAGCGCTCGCAAGACCCGTCAGCGCGATAACATTCGTCGGCGGTTGCATCCGGTGTTCGCGCTCAAACTCCCTGATATACCTGGTTGCTTCAAATCCATTGAGTATCGGCATGCTGATGTCCATGAGGATGAAGTCGAACCGACGCGGTCTCTCGTATTCGGGTGCGTCTTCTGAAATGTGGACGCCCGAAGCTTCTTTGAACCTGTCAACCGCTTCTTGTCCGTTTTCTGCCTCCTCGTACGAGTAGCCACACTTCTTCATGAACATCACCAGAAGCTTCAGGTTGATCTTATTGTCGTCCACCAGCAAGACGTGCAGCTTGCTGTCTTTGCGCTCCTTCAAGTCGGTCCCGCCAATTTCCTTTACTTGCACCGTGCCTAGCGATTTGCTGATTGCACGAGACGAAACTAGCTCCTCTTTGACTTCTTCAGGAGGCTGGTCATAGTGTACAATGACTCTGTCGTCTGGTTGTGGTGTGCCCATCCGGAGTTCCTTGATCGTTGGCTCCATGTCGGCATTTGATGCGGTGACCGAGATACTCTCTCCATTTGGTGCCTTTGCAGCAGCTTCTGCTCTCTTCAAACAGTTGCTAAAGACTTTGGCTAGCTTTCGTGGACCACAACTGTATCGAAATCAGCGTCATATTCTTAAGGCAATGAGAATGAAGAGCTTGACTTACGGTTGTGGTATCACCTCAACGATCTGAGACATCTGGCCCAAGACCTTTGTATGTTTATGAGAAATCTGAACCGCTTCTTCCGCATTTTGGCAGACAATAATGATCGGAACCTTTCGTGCTGAGGGCGTTTGATGGTCGCGGAATCGCTTTTCAAGTACCTCAATAGGAGGTGGTTCACAGTAAACGAACATGTCGGCGTCTGATACGTTTTTGTTGGTTTCTTTGTCCACCTTCATTCCAAACCAATTTGAACAAGTGTTGAAAAGCACCTCGTTAATCTTGGAAACTTGTCGAGTGACAGACGCTGGCTGTGGTGTGGTGTATCCGTTCAAGAGCACAAGCTTCTTGCCTTTTGTTTGTTCCGCGACCGATCGAATGGCCTCATCAGGTTGATGAGCTGCTGGATCAGAAACAGGTGCGAGCCGGAGATGCACGTCAACCTCTGTTCCCCTGCCTTGCTCAGATTTGACTTCTAGAGTGCCGCCAAGAGAGTCCACAATCTGCTTGACGATGCTCAGTCCAAGGCCGGTACCAGGCTGGAATGAGTCTTCCTGGCTAAAGGGAATAAACAGACGGTTTTGCTGGAAATCGTCACTTATGCCCTTGCCAGTATCTGCAACCCTGATCAGAGCATTGACCTTGGACCCATCTGACCTGGCTTGACCGGTAAGAGAAACAAGCACAAATCCTGACGTGGTATACTTTAGAGCATTGCCAAAGAGATTCATAATGATCCTGCGGAGAGCGCCTGGTTGCGTCTTAACCATCCATGAAGTCTTCGGACAGATGTCAACCAACACCGAGACAGGCCCGTCGGCTCCCGGAGCTTGGTACTTGCCAATCTCGATGGGTCCTCCGAGTTGACCTGCAGTTGCTTTTGTTGATCCCAGCGCGGCTGCGCCCGCAAGTTTCTTGAATGAGTGGCCTGCCGCAATAGCGTCGACAACTTCCTCAACAAGAACACCGAGATCTACGACTGCCGTCATGCTTAGACTCTCAAGAGAGTCAGAAGACAGGACGACGGGCCTGTTTTGCCTTGCGCTTTTCCTCATTTGCGCACGTCCCAATCGATTGATTTTGCTGTAGTCGAGAACATGGTTCAGAGTATCGAGGAGCGTCTTGCCGCAAGTAGAGATGGAGTTTACGAGGCCCGCTTGGTATGTATCTGTATCGGAGTCCTTGAGAAGTTCTGCTGAGCCTAGAATTCCATGAAGAGGGCTGCGCAGCTCGTGACTCATGCTGGCAATGAATGTCGTCTTTGCGGCTTCGTTCTTCTGTGTGTTGATACGTCCAACTTGAGTCATTATGCTGTTGCTGAAAGCTCGCAGATAGGAGAGGTCTTGGTCGAGGTTCATCATACGCCCAGTGACTGACGTCCACAAGAAGCAACCTCCAGCAAATCTGTCTTCGCTGTAGTCGAAAAGAGGGACGAAGACCACAGACTTTGCGCCGGGAATTTTCTTGAGAAGCTCTTCGTGGTCCATCCTGATTTTTCGGCGCCTGTTTCCTTCTCCGGTTTTCTCGCCTGCCTGGGGCCCTGTTCTGATGAGCTCTCGGTCGCTTGCACTATCATCTTCTGAGGAAACACCAGCTCCAGTCTCAGTGAAGGACAACGTTTTCCCCATGGGGAACATGGAAAAGTACTTTTCGAGTGTTCCGAGTGAAAGAGGAGGACCCTGCTCCATGCCAGCGCGTGTCTGCTCATCAGTGATGGAGTAGGACAGGATTTTACAAGGCCTCGCCGCGGGTGATGTGTCGGAGTCAGAGCTGTCGAGTCCCACGCCTTCAGAGCCTGAAGTGACTGGTAGCGACTGCTCGTCCTCGTCGGACGACTTTGATCCTCCCATCCTCATGGCCTTGCTCAGCTGTCTGGAGGTTGTGGTTGTGGCACCCAGAAAGACGACACCGTCAGCGAGCGTCGAGCGTCGCAAGATGTCAGCCGCACGGTGGTAGAGGTTCGATATACTATCAGGCTTCTGCTTGTTAAATTGCTTGAAGTTGTTCCTCGGCGGCGATTGTGGTGGAGAGTTCGGCGCTGCCTGTCGTAGGCGCGTCGGCAGGGATGATCGAGGGGATCCGGATCCACGAAAGTAAACATTGGCTGTCGAAAGAGGGCGCTTCGAAGAGCTGAGCGCCATCTCGGGAGGGCGAATCGTCGTTGGGTTCGGGGATACATCGTCCTTGGCCAAAATGTTGTCGTCGTTCAAAGTGAAGCAATCCTCAACGAAAGCCGCCAATCCCCGAACGATACGCTCACCCTTGAAGCGATCCACACGGTCCCTTGCCCATTCTAGGTGCTCCATCACAGTCTGGGCAATGCCCTGCATGAACTTGATCTCTTCGATTGTGAGTCCATCATGAGGGCGCTCATCCGACACAGCAAAGGAGCCGATTCTGTGTCCGTTTCGGGAGAAAATTGGCACGCCGGCATAAAATCGAACACCAGGCTCCGACAGAACATACGGACGGGTTGCGAAGCGTGAATCGTAGCGGCAGTCGGAGACGATGAGGCCTGGGACGGTGTACGGCCGATCCTTCGGGGAGTCTATCGCGGTGCAGGTGTTTATGAGGGAATGCTCGCAGACAGCATCCGGGCGGGATAGGATGGTTGCGCCGACTGTTTGAAGTTTTCATGGTCAGCATGACGGCACCGCAAGAGTAGGTTCCATCCCACGACTCTGCAAAGCCGAGGGCAACCCTTGGCACAGGCGACATAATGGCTACTTGGAGCCGTCTCCTGGAGAGAGTCTACATACGCCATAGGTCGCTGTTCGTGCTGTTCACCGGTTCTTCCGCAGCCTCGCTGTCAAGCTCTCCCAGCTGGATGTTTCGAGTGGCCTCGGAAAGGATGGTCTGAGTGGTAGAGTCAATCAGCGACACCATGGCACGCCTGACGTCGAGCTTGAGGACGGCCAGCTGGGAGAAGGCCGTGAGAGTCCTGTCCGGCGACGCCTTGGCCTGGTAGCCTGTGCTCTGCAGGTCAGGCGCCGCGATACTGTCGACATTGGTGGCGACGTTGAGAGAAGAACCCTGGGCGACCTGCCAGCTCTGGAGGTAGCGCTGAACCTCCCGCTCGCGCTGAGCCTCGGTGGAGGTTGACATCGGATGCGCGCGAACAATCGGTGAGGGGTAAGACGTTGCGGCGCGCCTGGGATGGGTTCTCGGTGTGGCCTCGGTGTTGAAGCAAGCTCACATCAGACGTCTCTCTTCACTTCTCAATTTTCCATTTTTTTTTGGCTCTGACATTTGCCTCTCAGGGTAAGATTGACGCGTCCCCGCCCCCTCGGCCGAGTTTTCGATCTACCGTGCGTGTGGGTTGTTGCGGTTGGGGTTCTAGAACCCGTTCGGGGCGGTCGACGTGGCGACACGTTCGTGGAAAAAATAACTCGGCTAACCTCATGGAGCGTGACATCATCCCTCGTCCAGTGAATCTCGATGAATCGGCCGAGGCTCCATGTTGCACGGATATCTTAAGCGATGCCTCGATCTATTCGTCCGTTCCACCTCGGGGGGGTCCCCGGTTCCATGCGGAGCCTATGGTGTTCCAGGACGCCTATCCGATGTCGCCAGTGACAATGACTCGTTTGGATCAAGTTGCCCACGCGATCCGCGCCGTTCATTACTAGGGAACTGACTAAAGTCTAAGACAGCTGCCATGTTCACGCATCTGGCGACGCCTCCCGGCTCTTTGGCTTGTCTAACTGGCTGTATCTGCATGTCCAACCGGCAAGGTTGAGACTAAACAGCACCGACATCCCGCAGTGCCGGTAAGCCGGAGCCTCAACCTCTTGCTAGTGAATACTTGATGGACTTTTGTCGATGTGAATTTCGGTGTATTTTGTATGACCTTGGCTTGCGAAAACAATGGTCAAACTAGGCCGCTTTAGCCGAGGATGCTTACAGCCAAGACATCATGGCCCCCTGCTCTTGGGCACGTGCACTGAAGATAGGCGGAACAACAGGCCCGCATTGTTATCTACTTCTACTCTAGCCCCTGGGTTAGCGCCCTTCATTGTCCAACACACAGCATTTCCCACTCCGCTTCTTCGTCTTCTGCGGGTCAAGATGGTCGGGAATTAAATGTTTGACAAGTGACAGCAATGGTACTCTATCACCTGTACAATACAACGGTAAGAGGCTTAGTTAACACAAGTGGAAAGGAAGCATCGAATTCATTTTCATAGTGTGGCGTAAACCTCCACAAATTGGATGTGGCTGGGCTCAGAAGGTAAAAGAAGCATCGAATACAAAGGCGATATTGTCCTACACATGGAGCGAGACTAATGACTTCTGAAATCCTTCTCCATGTTGTCACCCAATACCTGCCCATATTCAAATCATGTTCGACTGATCATCCAGATATAACTGGGCAGGCTTTTCAGATCTCTGCCTCTCAGATTCCTGTCTTTGCAGGTGCTGTCTCGGCGACGTTTGCCTCCCGGCCCTTGCCTCGGAATGCTGTGCGCCGGGCTGCTGACCTCTTGGCCGTTGTCTTCCAGATTGGCTTCCCTCGTATCGAAGGGCCTGCAGGTGCTGTTCCGCAGCGTGCTGCTCCTCATTCTCTCTGGACTGCTGCTGCGATGTCATCGTGCCAGTCTCAAGTCTGGACCGAAGAGGGCGTGGTGACAGTGCCACCAGGGTCACATCCGCATCATCGTAGCTAGAGCCGGCGCTTCTTCCAGCTTCCAACCTAGGACTCGGTATGGCCGGACTTTGAATGCCAATCGGCAAGAACATGTAACTTCCAAATGCGTTCATCTTGAGAACTTCCATCAGCGGCGCAGCTGCGGGAGGAGGCTCAACTACTCCGGAAAGGAGTTGGCCCGCAGAGTACGGCCATCCGTACATCTTGTCATTCGCACCTTTCCGCTCAGCCATCACTGAGCCTTCCAGAGAAATCCCAGCAAAGAATCCCTTGGCTTTTGAGTAGCTGTAGATGGCCGCGGCACCTCGTCGATTGGCTGCTCCAGCAGCCTCTGCTGTGCGTTCAAAAGGACCGGCAGCCAGCGACAGACTGCCTCCGAGGCTCAGGGATCCTGCTTGAGAAAAGGTCTTGACTGCGTCGGAGCTGTTGAGAACAAAGACGAAATCGACAAGTTCAAGGCCGATTTGACTTCCTATGCCGGTGCCGGCAAGGGCGACGGCTGACGGAGCGCTCCATGAACCATTGGGCAGACGGGCAACGACAACTCCACTACCAAATCTGCCAGAACCAAATAGGCCGGCTTTGAATACAGTGATAACTGCGAGACCCTGTCGAAAGATTTGTGTAAGCAGCACTGCCCGATGGCCCGGTTGAGAAGGCTACCCACCTTGGCTGAAGACAGCACTTTGGCTGGAATGACTCTGTCGGGGCCGAAGCGCCTGGCATCAACAAAAGATGTCAAAATCTTTGCACACTTCTTGCACTCAGCTGGGTGCTGTCAGTGTTTGTACATGTAATGTTTAAATCTGAACTTACCCTCCATAGATGAAGGAAGTGGGTTGTGGAAGCCCATGATGATTGAGACTCCAAGCTCGATGCGTCAGAAAAGGGTAGGTACAGTGTTGTTGGCAGTGATGCATTCAATTGGTATGTCTTAAACCTGATTATTGTTGCAGACTGCCGAGTCTTTACCATATTTGTAGTAGATCCAGCTGTCCAGCTGTTTCAATACCGCCCTCATGAATCGACTTCCACTTCGCACATCTGGAGGTTGTCCTCTCCGGGAAATCAGAAGCGACCCAGACTCATCCAGGCCGGCCGCGTACATCATCACGACTCGATTTCCTTTTTCGAGGTTTTCCCCTCTGTTCATTGGACTCAGCCTCCACGAATCTTCACATGCATTGACATCTGCCGTTGAAGGGTCCAACGAACGTACATGCCGTTAACGTGCGTCTGTCTGTGTGTTGATAGCCACACCTACCAAACGGGTAATGAACCGGTTTGAGAACATGAGATGAAGGCAAAACCAGAGTATTCTCAAGTTCATCCGTAAGCGCTGATAGGCCGACGCGCCCTGCGGGGAAAAAAACTGCGAAACGTCAACCACGTAAAGAAGGAATTAGACTCTGGAGCTCTGCGAGGCGCAGAGACGCAAAGGGCATTTTGTGGCTGAGCTAGAGACGTTGCCGAAAGCGGCTTGTAAGTCGCGATGACAACTGCCACACGACATCTGTGGCTCCCACCGGCATCTGAGAGACTTTGATCCATCCCGTGGGGAACACCGGTCAATGTCTAGCTGAAAGCCTGTTATGAACGAATCAGATCTCATAATGATAAGATCGTGACCCTGGGATGTGGAGGCTATCTAATGACAGTCTGTCAACCATTGAGTCATTGTTCAAGAAGATACTTTCCGTAATGGCAGTGCTCTCGGCAAGGACGGATCATCGTGTTCGCGTTTCTCGAAGCGGAGATAAGATCTGATCTACAAGAGGCTTTGGAGATGAGAAATTTTTCACATGTGGTTCTAATGATATTGATCTAGATGACTTGATCACGCTCAATCTGGGATAAATTTTGTCGCCAAACCCCTCATCTTTCATCTCTTCCTGATCCTCCTCAACATGTTCAGCGCATTCAGCCAGTCGACTGCCAGTCTAGAAAGCCGAGTCGCTAGGCGACGGCAATATCGTCGGTCAGCCTTGTTACCGGCTGCTCTCAGTATTGTTTCTTTTTCTTTGACGTTGGTTCTTGTCCTCTCTGGTCGGCAGGCCGATCAGGCGAGCGACATCTACTTCCTCTCGGTACTATATGTTTCGTGAACGTCGTACTCTTTGTTATAGCATGCTCTTACATAGCGTTTAGATAAGTTTGACATCGTTGAACCAATCCGGCACAACCTCTCGAGCGGTCCAGGCCCCTGTTCAACACCACGCACTTGCGGGCCGCTCACCTGTCCCCGATCCCTCACCAACAATACCAAATCCCTTGGAAATTTTGGAGAACCCAATAGGCGCTCTTCAAGGAGTTGCATCCTCTATACCAAATCCGTTGGTTGTTCTCGAGAATCCGGCAGCCCTGGCGAGCCTGATTCCGAATCCAGCCCAAATTGTTGGGAGCCTTGAGTCTGCTGTTCCAGCAGCTGCGGGTGCCATTGGTAGTCTGCTGGGAAACATCACGCACGGGATCGAGGGCGAAATTCAAGTTATCGAAAAGGCCTTCATAGATGAGATCAGCTCCATCATTGGCATCAAGAATCAGTACACCTTCTATGTGGCGAATGTGTGCATGGGGATGCCCCTGAATGAGTCGTCAACCCTAGCCACCGTTACTATGTGCCGTTAGGGAATTAATGACTGATGAGACTTAGGAGTTGAGGATCTCGTCTCCAAAATCCCAACGAAGATCCCCCTAGGAGTGGCGAACATTACCATACCATTCTCTGGGCAAATTGCCGACATCTTCGGCTCCTTCGACGACATTCTCTCGGCACTCGGAAACATTCTTTTTGCATTCTACATAATATCCCTTGTCGGAAACGCATTACTTATCATCAGCTCAGTTTCGGGAGTGGTTTTCAGATCCAGTAAGCTGAACATGCTGGCGAACATTCTCGTCTCACTTTTTGCGACTGGATCCCAGATAAGCATAGGTGTAATCACCGTCACCTTGGTTCTCGCTGTTGGTGGTACGATTGGAATGTTAGGGAGGAACTTGGGCATTCATGTCGAATATGGCGCAAAGGCCTTGGCGTTTATCATTCTCAGTACCTTGTTTACTGGTGCTGCGGGGATTTACTGGTTTGCCATTGCCTTCAAGATTCTCTTCGCAATACTCAACCATCAACGACAGGAACTGATGGAAAGAGCTGCGAAGACTGAGAAGATACGGGTAGGAATGGTAGTCTAAGAATGCGGTTGAAGGAGGTTATCGTCAAGGCCTGGAGCTTAACCATACTCGGGGGCAATTAGGGAGCTAATTCTACCTATATTTGCCGTTTTCGTCTTTCTATCCCGATAGTGGCGTGTCCTGGGCAGCAGTCCCAATGTGCCAATTTCATAGAGCGGGAGCTAACGGGACGGGAACCACTCGGGAACCCTGCGGGAGCTAGGCGAGTCCTGTGGTGGTAGTGCGTGTCTCGGTATTGTGTGCGGGGATTCCGCATGTCAGCTAAGGCCGGACACGTTGCTATGAGCCACCAAATTGGCATCGTCCAAGAGGTCTATGATAGAGCTGAGATGGCAAATGAAACTTGAAGTGGCAGCAGGTATGCAGGCAAGACCGGCCCATGTCCGTGCCTTGTTGGCCGGGTGCCACGATGTTTCCAGTCAGAGAACCCCTGGACTTGAAAATTCTGCCAAGGTCAGCTGTAAACTTAGTTGTTTCTGCTGTCCAATAGGCTTCCTCTGAATACCAAGCGGGCTGACATTGCGACCGTTTGCTGCCGTCGAGTGAGACATGCATTCCGTAGCATCCAGGGTCGGCATCTGCGGACGGCCTAGAACATATCCAGATTGACAATCCCTCCAATGAGCTTGCCAAGCCAGGATTGAAGGAGGCAAAAGAACGATCAATAGCCTTTCTGAAAGCATACCTCAAGTCAATTGACACGCAACAGCCTGGGGAGGAAAGCCTGTCGAAGGGGAATTTGCGCTTGAAATCTTGTGGTGCCGGATGCGGGATAAGCCGCAGTGCAACCACGTTAAGCGCATCGTACGTAGTTGTCCATACTACGGAGAAATGCTCAGCCTGAGACACAAGTGCCTTCCCCATCATCCAATTCATCTTCCTCAATACCAAGCCATGCTTACGCTGGTACTGCCGGTTAAACAGTTATCAACATGGTTAGCTGACTGTGGGAGCGCCCCTCATCGACGTATTTCTGATCCTTTGGACAGCTATTAATCGCTCGAAAGTAATCATATATCTGTAGTCTTTCTGCATGAACACTGCTTATATTTGCAAGGTAGATCAGATAAGTAGTTGTAGACATGCAGATGGTGAGGCCAGGCAATGGTGGCGTGGCTGCCTATTCATTCTCGTCGCATCTGGCCAGCTCTACGCCACGGCGTTCAGCTTGTCTTATATCAGCCCACATGCTGAAGCCATCGCCGCCGCCTTTATTCATTCGATTCATTCCAGTAATTGTTTGAACGTATGCTTCTATACCTTGCAGATCAGAAATTACTATTCTATTCAGTCACCGACCACAGACTGTTTTTCTATTTAAAGGTACAGGTCCGGTCCAGTCAACCCTGCTTCACCTTTTATATCTTCCACCATCAAACCTTTCTTATCATATCATAACTCAAAAGCTTCAATCATGAGTCAATTCACCGCCCCCGCTGTCTCCATCAGCCTCCCGCCGAACTTCACCTACGCTGAGTCGGTATCTTTGCAAGAGGGGGCCATTCCCAACACTGACGGCGTTCCTGCCCCCAACGGCACTAACGGATCTGACCACTCCAACGGTACCAATGGCTCTGCTGCTAATTTGGAGCCCCCGGCATCCAACTTGAGAGCTCCTCCCCTTAAGGTTCTCCAGCACTTCAAAGGAACGTTTAAGGGACACGGCTTCAACACCATCTTCCGCCCGAATAACAATAAGGCCGGCTTCAGTGAGATGAATGTCAAGCCAAATGACGATGTCAAGGACAACATCCTGCAGTTGAACATCACCGCAGAGACCCAGGTTTTCTCTACTCCTCTCGGGGCGGTGCCCAACCGCGGCCTGGACGATCAACCTGATATCGCTCTTGATGGAATCTCATACACCCAGACCATCATCGACTTGACCGAGAAGGTGAAGGGCCGCCAGCAGCCAGTCATTCACTTTGAGCCCGGCCTCTGGATGCGCGTTCCCAAGACCGAGGACCCCACGCTGGCCGCGTCCTACTCTCGCATGGCGTCCATCCCTCATGGGACGACGATCAATGCTCAATGCTTTGATCAGGCGGTCATCACCAATGGGGCACCTAATATAGATACAGCTGGCATCACGCCATTCCTCATCCGCGCCGACGAGACCCAGGCCAAGTCTTTCATTCCATTTGCCAGCCAACAGGCGACGGACAGCACCACCCACCGCCTGCCTCAGGACCTGGAACCCTTCATCAAGAACTCTAGCATCACTCAAGAGATGATTGACAACCCAAACAGCATCTTGACCAAGGCCAACAAGGGAAAGACCATCACCAACACCACCACGTTCACGGTGTCAACCGATTCTCAGCCTGGAGGCGGCACACGCAACATTGGCTTCCTTGTCTCCGGCAAGGCACCGGGCACGGGTGGGCCAAGCAACGCGGATGCAGTGAGCATGTCGGCGACTTATTGGGTTTCGACGGTGCAAGCAAAGGTTGAGCTCAAGCCTTGGAAGCCCACTGCACAGAAGCCGTTCAGAACTTTCTCTCCGGCAGCCCATAGCCGTCATGACGGAGTTCCTACATTCGTCGTGCGGGATGAGATCAAGACGGCGAGAACCGTGACTGTCGAGTATACTCAGATTCAGTATTCTCAGACCGTCATGCTCAACTTCGCTAAACTCTCATGGCCTCATGTAAGCGTCGCCACTCTTGCTCCCAGCGACATTCCGCTTGTCGAGGCAATCATTGCACGAAACTAAGGAAGGTTCAAGTGGGCGAGAATAGCTGCAGGACCCTGCCCAGGAAAGCCATCACGATATCAGAGATTTTAATGGTACGATGGATCGGGGACAAATAAAGATTGACAGAAATTTCGTGGAGGGCTAGTGAGTAGAAAGAAATTGAAAAGCTTTGAAAACACGTCCCGTTTGAGTGAATTAGAAAGACTCATGGCCAAGGGCTAGGAATCGAATTCCATTCATTTTCTAGGTCAGACCGACTGGCTCTCAAGCCGCCATATTGCCCATCGTCAGTGCTATTAAAGAAGCAAAGGCTGACACCGAATTGATTACTTCGACAACTTGGCTCTTCATCTTTGGACACATGCTGAATCCAATTATTCTGACAATATTGCGACGCAAAAGTGCTACCGCTTACTAGTTTTTTTTTTTTTTTTTTTTAGTGTATTTCTCCAGCTGCGCCACAGGGACTCGGTGAGGGATCTGTCTCTCAAAATCTGATTGGCGTCGACTATGGAGGCTAGTGCTGAGCAATGGTCCTCATCGCCGACCCGGCACACGCGGCAGGTGGGCAGCGGAACCGCTCGGCCACGGGTGGGACGCTCGGTCCCGAAGCATTGTGGCAGTCTCACCAGCGACCGCTCAACCGTCAGGACCGGGTCCGGTCTTTGGCAAATTTCCATGTATGACCCGACTTCATAGTAAAAGTCCATGTCCGGATGTCAAGATGTCTTCAAATGAATTCGCGAGTATAAATACTACGGACGGCAGGCCGTTTTCGCGTTCTGTTCTCTCGTATCATCAAAGTCAGAGTACACACCGAGTCACGAGACTTTCAATTCACCAGCATTCTCAAACCTTCTCACTTCCAATAGCAGAACCATCATGAGTTCTTCACCAGCAAATCGCATCATCATCGTGGGCGGCGGCCTGGGCGGTCTAGCCCTTGCTCAAAGTCTCAAAAACGCCAACCCTCCGATCCCATTCCACGTCTTTGAGCGGGATACTTCGGTGGCCTTCCGCACCCAGGGCTACCGTATCCGTATCTCCCCCGATGGAGCCGCTGCTCTCCAGAAACTTCTCCCCGGCCACCTTTGGCAGGCCTTCGAAGCAACCTCCGCTCCGATGCAGCCAGGGTTCAGCCGAATGGATGCCATGACCGGCCAGCCCACTGAGTGGGCAACGCCTCTTCCCGGCCCGCCTCCCAAGACCGGGGCTGGACGACAGGGATTCCAGGAAGGCAAAGCGTACAATGTTGACCGCGCCATTCTCCGCAGCATTCTGCTAGAAGGCCTGGAAGAGCATATTTCATTTGGGAAGAAGTTTCAAAGCTACATCACGAATTCCGAAGGCCAGGTTGAAGTTACTTTTGGTGATGGGAGCAAGGAGATAGGTAGCCTCCTGGTCGGTGCGGACGGCACTCGCTCGGCTATCCGACGACAGCTATTGCCCAACTTCACCGTGTTGGACACCGAAGGCCGAGCCGTGTTTGGAAAGACCTTTCGAACACCAGAGTTGGCGTCTGCTGTGCCTGCCGAAATTGTCGGCGGCATGTCACTTACTGGAGAGTCCAGCGAGAGCCCGCTGAAGCTCTTTGGCGACAACATGGTGTTCGACAAGACCCTAGACTCAGTCATGAGGACGAAATACCACATTCCATCTGATTACGTCTACTGGGTCTTGTGCTTCCGCGACGACGTAGTGCCAACAAAATCTGAGGAGCTTTTGAGATTCGACCATGCCCAATCGGCTCAACAGGCACAATCCATGGCATCGCCGTGGCACTCGTCGATACGTACGCTGATCGAAAAGCAAGATGTGGAGTCCGCATCTACCCTTGCTTTCCATACGACCTCTGAGGAGCTTTTCACATCGGCTTGGAGCGAGTTCATCAACTCTGCCGAGGACACGCATCCAATGGCCACATTGCTCGGAGACGCAGCTCACCCCATGTCACCCGTCGGAGGTGTTGGTGCGAACTCGGCATTCCAAGACGCTGCCGACCTGTTCGGAGCGCTGGTTGAAATTTCTTCCGGCTCAAGACAGACCCAAGACAAGATTGCCAGGTTGAAGGAGTACGAGCGATCAATGGTAGAGAGAGGCGTGGTCATGGTGAAGCGGAGCACTGGGGGCGCAGGACACATGTTCGCCATGAGACCTGTGGCGGAGCTCAAGCCGGTGACGCATTGAGATTCAGCTCCGTGCGTGGGGTCTGGTTAGGTAGCGTTAGTTAACATTTCTGTACATAGAGGCATCTTAGTCATTCGAATATCCAAGATTCAAGTACTTTCGGGTCCCAAGTGTACAGATCCTGCGCCAATTGCGCATACCGTTGAAGAGACTCAAGGATGCATTGCCGAGAGAGACAGCTGGAGAGACAGTCCAGTGGCTCTGACTCAGAGACTCTCTCACGTGCGACTGGGAGTGATGACTAACAAGAGGAAAATTCGAAGGAATTTCCAGGCCCACTTATGAGAGAAAAATGAAATCATTCTGGGTCGGTGAAGAGCCTGTAACCTGACCGACAAGATTTTGAAGGCAAGCAAGGTAAGGCTCTCTTTGAGACTTGACGGTGAGAGACTGGGGGACAAGTTCGCGGATTATGTCGGGCAGGCCCTGAGTGGTTGGGGAGCAGCAGGATCCTGGTCGGTGCAGAGTGGTAGTGTCCCAGACCCCTGGGCCGAACAGGAGGACGGAAGCATGAAATTTTAGGTCGCCAATGGTGAGTCGAAGACTGGACGGCAATGTGCGACATAGGACGAGTTGTTGCTGAGCTCTTTCGCTCTCACGTTGGCTTCAAGAGGCTCTTCTTTCGTTGTGTGGTGTTATGTTGGCTCGTCAAGATCCATTTTCTCCGATTAGGATCGTGCCGGAGGAATCCCCTGGAATTTTGTGTTATTTTTAGGCCCATCGACCCCTCATTTGTGCTAAGACACAGATAAAATAGCGGCTGCACCCGCACACATCCAGACGGTCATCATGCCAGGCACTTCGTGATCAACGCATCAAGCATGTTTGGGCTCTTCCTAACCGCTCTCGCAGGCTCTTGCAGGCCGTTGCTATATGAAGCCAAGGCCGTCCGACCTCCCAGCTCCATAGTCACAAGTTTTCTGCCTCTGCCTCGGAGCAGATAAGGCGGGCAAAAGTGATTGATCAGCCACCCCGGAAGGCCGGCGAAGGTTCCGCCGAAAGAGCGGTGACGGGTCCCTCGACCCGCGCTGGAACCCCCAAGAAGCCCTTGTTTGCGCTGGGACAAGAAATGTCTGGTTGAAATCGCGGCGGGTGGGGATGAGCAGACTGATCACGACCATTGATATGAGAGCAGACGCATGGCGGTGGAGGTTGGGCATCATGTACACCGCGCATGATCCATTTTAGCGACGTGGCGGAAAAAAGAGCAACTGGCTGCCAACAGGGCCGGCCGCGGATTGACGAGACCGCCCTTCTCTGCTGCCTCCCTGACCTGAATCCCTCGCGAGTCGCCCTGCCTCCCTCTCTGTCCAGTGCCCCCTGAGTCCCTCCCACATCGGTCAGTCGGTCGGTCCATCCAGCAGCCCCAGACATCGGCTGCGTGCTTTCTGGTTGGGCTCCTTGCATTGCATTGGCTCAATTCACGTCCGATTCCGACAGCTCACCTCTCTTTGCCCCCCAGTCATAGTCCCGTCTCAGTCCAGTCTTGCTACAATGACCGATCATCCTTCTTTCTTTTCCCCGCCAGAGCTTCTGACCTCTCAAGCGGCACCTTGAACCATAAGATATCCCCTTCTTCGAATCCCCTCTCTTTCTTCTCTTCTTCCTTTTCCGTGGGATGTGGCAAGAGATGGTGATCGGGAACCGAGAATTTACGACTTTCAGGAGTAAGAGTACCAAGAGCACTAAGAGTGACTCGGGGAAGGACTCGGGAAACGGAGATGATGCGTCAGTAGGCACGCATGAGAGCTCGTATGAGCACCCTCTGGGTGAGTCGCCCAAACACCACCACCAGCGCACGAGATTGGAGATCCACGCCGATGGGCCTTTGGGGGCAACCAGGCTGTGACTCTTCTGTTGTTGTTCTGCCACGCGACAAATTGAAACGTGGTTCTTTTTGCTGACTTTCGAGACCATCAACAGCTCGCAAGGGCTACGACATTGGCCCCGCGTCGCGGCTGGAGATAGGCGATGTCTTCGAGTTCCTCTGGGCCGACTCGCACGAGTTCGAATGGGAGTGGAAGTGCCTTGGATACACCCGCTTCATTGTCCTTCGACATAGCGACACGTTTCCGCACTATGTTATCTGCGTGTAAGCATCTTTCTTCTTCATCGTCGTCGTCGTTGTTGCTTTGCGACTCCGTTGTTTTTCTTCAATCATCTTACCCCTCCCTCCCAATCCTGTTCGCTAACCCGATCGGCTCCCCGAAAAAAGTCCCATCTCCACCCCCACCAAGAACGACTTCCAGAAGCCCGGAATCGACTCGAGCCAGCAGGGCTACGTCTTCGAAGAGAATGACCGGACGCCGCCTTTCGACAAATTGCCCTTCTCGCCGGTGGGCATGCAGCTGCGCCCGGGCAAATTCCGCGTCAAGGAAAACTCGCGAGCCAACTACGCCGATGTCCTCGAGGTCGATCACGACGCGCAGGTCATGGTCGTCGGCGACGTTACCCGCTACTTCGACCGCGTGCGGAGGAATGTCAACAAAGCCGTCATGCGCAACGTTCTGAAGAGGGCGTTGGAGCAGTACCGCCAGGGCAAGCTGGTCAGCAAGAAGGGTGCAAAACTGGAGGCGAGTGTGATAAATGGTGGTCCCGATGACGACGACGACGAGCCAGACTACGACCTCGAAGGCGAAAGCGAGCGGGAGAGGACATCTCCTGTTCCGGAGATGACTTACCACGTCAACGATTCCTTCGTGGGATCGAGGAGGTCACTCGTCGAACCCCAGCCGCGGAGGGATTCATATGCCGACGCCGCGCGGAGGGAATCGTATCATCAAGCGCAGTCTCAACCTCGCCATGTCCCCAGCGCCGAACCCGCTCCGCCTCCGCCCGCGCCTCCGTTGCCCGACATGGGCTCGATGGGACCCCCGCCTCCCCCTGCTCCCCCCATGCCACCGCATCTCAACAGTATGCCCCCGCCGGCTCCCCCTATGCCGTCCCATCTGAATAACATGCCTCCGCCGGCTCCTCCGATGCCGCCTCACCTGAACGGCGCTTCTCCGGCTCAGTACAACAGCATGCCCCCCTCACAGCCGCCCTCCATCCGGAACCTCGATCGGGACGACGCGGCCTCCATCCGTTCCTTCGCTTCCGACGCTTCTCGACAGAGAAGGCATTCGCGAAGAGAGGAGCGAGAACGAGAACGAGAACGCAACCCGCCACCCCCCAGGCCCGAGGCGCTCGAGCGAAGAATGTCTAACCACATTGACGGAGCATCTCGGCCATACCGCCAGCGCCTCGAGCTCCCCCGGTCCCGTAGTCAACGTCAGGAGGGATCCGTATACGACGTTGCGACAGCCAGGGCAGATTGACTTATCAAAAGGGACTGGAAGATGTCTTGGATTGAAATTTTGGCACGCGGTCGGCGGGGGATAAGAGGCGCGAATATTTTTGGTTGCATTTGATTAACCACCCTGGGAGTCAGATGCGCGAGCGCGCGCGAGAGACAGAATGAGGGCGGCTCCATGTTTTTTACGACTATCATCATTGACGATTGCATGTTTCACTGCGGCACAGACACACTCACAAATACCTACAAACCAAATAACGAAGAATCCGCCCAGCATTAACGGACTACAATTAGAATTGTTTATGACCTTTTTTTTTTCTTTCTGGCCCTAGCCATCTACTACAAGGACGGTATATTACAAGACAGTGTACAAATGATAATGAAAAACACAGCGCAAAGTTGTCTTCTCTCTTCTCTTCACAACTATTTCCGAAAATGACTGCATCATGAAATCATGCACGTGTGCTCCAACAGTTGCTCGCGATGTGTGACGTGATAACTCATTCATAATTGCATGCATCAGGGAAGTTTGCGGTTTGGGTAGCAATCTCGGGCAGCGAAAAAAAAAACGGATGCACTGCGCTAGCCGCGGCTATGTGCATCGTGATGCGGCGTGATTCACGATCCCTCACCAACTGGACGGACCAAACGTCTCGTTCTCCCCCACTGTCTTGAGAATGGCGCCATATGTAGAGTCCTAATTGGGAGAAAAGGTTAGTTGACGATCTTGATTGAGGGGATACGGCAGTGAGGTATTGCGTCACAGGTGTTATCTGAAAGTGAGGCGGGCGCGTTACTTACGAGAGTATTATATACTAGACACGGTCAGCTCATGGACTTAATGATGGTGATTTGACGACGAGATAATGCATCAAAAACCAGATTGGGAAGGAACACGTTCGCACTCACCATCGACATTCCCCCACCATTGGGGTATTGTGACATTGGGCAGCGTTATGGCGAAGAAAATAACGATAGTGCTGATGATGAGACCGGCATCCAGGGCGGCGGCCGTAATGTAGTTGTACATCCTCCACCAGCCATGGAATCTCTTGCGAATGCCGTGGTTGAAGATGAGGCCAACGATGGCCCAGCTGGAGAAGCTGAGTGGCGTCGCAGGCGGCAGCCAGCCCATAGCACCAAGCATGACCGGGGCATGGAATGCTCGGACAAACTTGAGGTTGAAGACCTTTGTCATGACGTAGAAGACGACAGGAAGGCACGCGCCAATGAGCCAGAAGAAGTTGAATTTGTGGTAGAGGGAGTCGGCTCCAAACATGCGTCTAGGACCAATCACTCCCCAGACGATGGAGGACGAGAAGAATGCTCTTCCATTGGGGCAAGTGAAGTGTGCGGTTTGGTGACTAAAACTTTGGTTAGGTGCGAAAATGAGGGTATGACAGCTGCTCAACTTACAGCGCGCAACAGTCTTCAATATTGCCCAAGGTCCAGTTCATCACGGCGATTTGCACAAAGACTGCCCAGATGGTAGCGACGACCTGGCACCAAAACGTGATGCGTGGAGGGATTTTCATGTAGTGAGCCATCTTGAGATCGCCTGAATACGTTTGTGCCTGACCAAGGGTAATTGTGCTGTAAACTTTGAAGATCATGACACCGATAGGCTTTCCTGGAATCATGAATCCAGCCAAGAACGGGGAGAGCACGTTGAGGGCGAGCGGCAAGTTCGAGATGGCCAGAATCGTGCAGGTTGGGACGACGAAAGCTGTCGCCAGGAAGTTCGCGACAAAGAAAGCCCACCAGGGTAGTTGCGAGTCCCATCCCTCAGCCGTAGCCAGACCAAGGCCAACGGCAATGACGAGAAGGACAGCATACCACCACTCAGGCGCATCGCGATATTTCTTCATCAGTTTCATGTGAATATCAGGCTCCTGGTTGCGGGCCGTCTTGAGTCGATACCAAATCTCCTTTCCGTGGAAAAGACCGGTGTGAACAATCGCTGCGGTGAGAGCGGCGAAAGAAAGACCATAGTTGAGGGCAAAGGTTGGCGCAAGGAAGAGGGGCGAGTACTCTTTGTATTTCGCCTCGTCAAATGTGTATCCTGCACCAAGGATCTTGCTCACGTTATAGCTGCCTTGGGTGTTATCGTACGTCTGCGAGGTATTGATGGGTAGGTATTCCGAGAAAAGGGCGCCTGTGTAGGCGATGCCGATGGTCGGGAGGATGACAAAGACGAAGAGTCCAATCAGAACGTTGATATGAGTATGCGTCGGAGACAGGAGAGGATCACCAAGATACGCGGAGACGTAAGTCCAGTCAAACGTGATGGGGATCAGCGAGAGGCCAGTGAAGCCTCCGAAGAGTTGGTTCACCACCACGTTGCTCGGCTTAATCCACGTGATGAAGGCGAACACCGACAGACCTTGCCAAAGAACGCCAGGGATCCAGTAGTAGACGAACATGGCTCCGAGGACGTAGAAAAAGTATCGGTATCGGCTAATGACCCAACCATTGCTGTGCGTGCCGTCACTCTTGCTCTTATCGTGCAGGGCGTAAAAGAGGGACGTGTTGGCGAACTGGTTTGGCCAGATCATGGCGGACGGCCAGACGAGGAATCTGCGGCAAAGACCGGCGAGACCGATGCCAATCAGTTGAGAGCTGAGTGTGAAGAGCAGTTGAAAGCCCCATCCCAGGTTGATGTCGTAGAAGGGCTTGCCCTGCAGTGCGAGAAGGGCGTCGGTGCTGTAGGCGTAGCTGATCGAAACGTTGGACATCAGGGTGATGACGACGTGCTCCTTGATCGTGAAAGGTCCGGTGTTGAGAGTCCACTGAAGACCGAATGTGTTGAACACCTTCGTTGGCATTACTTTCGCCCACAAGCAACCGATCGGGTAGACAAGCAACTGGACGATTATTGAGGGAAAATTGATGGCCGGACTCCTGTTGACACATTTCAGTCAGCGGTCGTCTTTTGCGTCTTAGAACTCGCTGTGTCTCGTACCTCATACTCAAGAACATGTTCAGCCCACTGCCGATCGTGACGAAAATCATTCCAAGGACCCAGGCGCGGACCGTATTCGCGACTTCTTCGCCGTCGGTATTGCGGACTGCAGCTCTGACCTCTTCGTATGGCGAATCCTCTGTGAGGATGGCATCGGCGGTGATAATCTCCTCAGAATCTCCATCTTGCAGCGCCTTCTTGACCATGTCGGCCTTCTCAGGGGAAAGATTGGGGTCCCATTGGTGGTCGCGTTGAAATCTCTCCAGGTCGTCGGCTGCCTGGGACACGTCTACGCCATGATGCTTCTCATCGGCGACCACTACGGGTGTTGAGTCGGGAGAGGTCATCTTGGTTGTTGTGAAAGGGTATGTGGCCACTGAGGGTTAGTAATTCGAGGTCAACTGAGCCCAATGGCTCATCAACTTCTTGAATCTCCAAGAGTCACCGGACGTCGTCGGCATGCGGGGAGAAGAGGGGAAACAGTCGCCATGGCATAAAATGGCCCGACGCGTTCCTCATATAAGTCCATTGGTCAATTGAATTGAGACCAGCTCATCCCCGAAGAAGGAAGTTGCCTACGTCGCCCATGGTAATGATAACGGTCACCCGAGCATTCAACCGTAACGTGCCATGGATCCCAGCTCGAGAGCAATCGTTATCAGAGGCGCGTCTTCCCCACCCAATTCCAAAGGCGGAATCGCTCTCGTTCGTGGTCAGTTATCTAGACCGAGGCTGGGGGAGGGGAGGGTGGAACTTTTGAAATGGCTGCCCGTTTTCCCCGGAAAGAGGGGGGGAAGGGGGAGGAGGCGTTCCCGCTTATCGTCTTGACAGGTCTCGTCCCGGCACGGCGAATGCTTGTCCAATTACCGTCGAACTCTAAAATCCACCGTTGGGATCCCTTGACAACGGCGGCACGTTGCAACCGCGTGACGGCCTCTCTCCAACGATTCTCCTTACCCCACTGGAAGATAAGGTATCACTAGCATCCGAACCCCTCAGCCGGAACTCTGGGGGCGGATAATATCGTTGAATAAAGAAGATACGGACAACATTGATAAGTCGGAGGGGCTTCCGCGGGAGGGGTTCCGACCAGCAGGGGTGTCCGGAGAAAGACCCCGGGCATTGCCGGGAATATGGCTGCAAGTTGCTCAAGCATTGAAAGTCCCCGGGTTCAGTAACGCGCTGGTATTCATTGGGATGGACTCAAGTCTGGATTCTCAATGACCTCTGCTGTCCGGCCAGATAGGTTTGAGCAACCAACCCAGTGGAGCTCTATCACAATCCATATTTGTCCTTACACGGCTTAGTCATTATTCAACTTAATTGCCACCAACGTCTCTAGCCACCCGGGTAACAGATTTTGTTGGCGATGGTTGGTTGAAAACAGGACTCATCCGAAAAAATGAAGGTTTTTCTCTGGTTTCTGATGTAAAACTTGGAATCATCTGAGAATGCCTATTCTACCCCCTTGATTGAATGCAATCTGCTCCCCTGTGACCTTTGCAACCCCAGACCTTTCATATATATCCCAGTCTCCAATGGCCGCGATAAGGCGCACTAGAAGAACATAATGTGACTGTTGAGACTTCGCCTGATAGTTCTTGCCTTTTGCCACAATCACACATCTAAGGTCAGAAACGCCATGCTCTGGAGTGTCGAGATCCAATTGCATGTCATTGGATACCAGAAGCTCCCATATGGGTGCCTTGATCTCGCATGCTGTGTCTCCTTCATTTCTCTCCTTCATGCTCTGAGAGGACCATCCTTTGAATGGCGAGATGATGTCGGGTTCCCAGGAAAACATGTTGAAAGGAACATTCATGTATCTGATCTCGCCATCAAAAGCCATCCATGACCATGAAGGCACGTGGACTCCTCGAAGCAGATTTGTTTTGATGCGCTGTAGATATCCGTTGGCCTTCTGCCAAAGCAGACACCGATGAAAGAATGTATCAAAGACCCCATGAGCACCGACGGTCTGGAATGTACGGATGAGTCGTGTTTCAAGTCCGCGAATGGCGACCGGTCTATCGCCTATTGAGCTAAGAGCCAGCCCTGAGTACTTCTGATAGAGATCTTGATACAGCTCTATTTTCATACCGCGGACATAGGTGTCGATGGAATGTGGAAAGTCCGAGTCACCGAGAAATGAAGCTTTCCGGCTGAGAGATTGAAAGGTCAGTCGATCTCAGACTACGCATAGGTGAGATGTGAATGAAGCTGAACTCACTTTCTCATCTTCGTCATTGTCTCGCCTCTGACACCCCTCCCGCACTCCCAATAAGTCTGATTCTGGGAGAAATAAATGGTGCGGCGCGAGAGAGCTCGTTCTTGTAGAATCCAAGCACGTTTGTTCAACTCTCCTTGTTCCACGTCGCGTCCGAAGTCGTCGATAGAGTTACAAATGTAGTATGAGCCTCTGTTGGACTCCATTGGCACACATTGCCTCCATGGGCGAGGCTTAAGAAACCCATCTTCGGTGCCGCTAGCGCAGGTTGCTGCCAAAGTGGCATACGCCGAGCTGTAGACTTGTTCCATCAGGCGAGACTCCATTTTCCAGTCGTTAGGGTCGTCCTGGACAATGCAGAGCGAGTCGATCCAAAGATAGCCAATCCCGAGGCGTCGTGTGACTTTGATGGCATCTTGAAATGTTTTGGGCAGCTCCGCCTCTTTGATTTCTCGTTTGAAAGCGTCCAAGTTTTCCTTTAGAGTGCAGAACTTCCTATGTTGGTCGGGCGAGCCCCATCGATGCGACAGGGCTAGATACTTTCCAGGACTCGTTTGCCCACGATCTGCGCAAATCAATCGGCATGTTCTGGAGTTCTCGGTGCCCACGTCCAGAACACGTGTGGGAAGAAAGGTGGTGTCTGCTTCTGGTTTGCAATGGTGTGTATTATCGCATATGCGGATCCATGTCGACAGTACCATGATATGCTCGGGACTGCCAGCAGTTGGGAGCAATGGTATTCCCATTTGTGTATTTGGGAGGGATTTGTCTGAGAATCAACATTAGCGCAGACCATATTGAAGCTAATATTACCCACCTGAATAACTGTAAAGAATCGCAATTGGTCGTCCAGGCCGGACACTTGACGTCAAATAGCTGCTGACTCTTTCGAAGCAAATGTCGTCACGGATGTTGGCTACCATCGGCTCGACAGACACGGACAGCAGACGACAGAGGTTGCAGATTCTCGCACTCCTTGATAGACTCTCTGCCGTATCCAAGAACATAAAATTCTGAGACCAGAGGGACTGCTGAAATTCCATGCATCGAGTGCAAAGGCCGATTGTTGTATCCGTGACTGGTGGAACAAGCAAGACGCCCCCATTCTTGGACAGTTCTCGTGCCGTGCTACTGTCAGGGCTGCATTCCCATTCGTTGTCAAGCTGGAGTACCGTCGTTAGAAAGCGGCTGGTAACAAATCCCAAAGTTTACTCACTGGCTGGGCCGAGTTTCGGAATCAGCAAGGGGACCAAGTCATTGAATGCGGATTACTGAAGGTGGGAAGTTGCAGTTGTCAATGAACATTGAACGTACCGTCTGTCGAAATAGGTCAACAGATGGTATACTCAGTGAACGTTGTTGACGTACAAACTACAAAGATAAGTCAGACTTGATTGATGAGGGCGTACAGCAGGCGAGTGGGATATCCTTACCATCTACTTCAGTATTAGTCTTCATTGGGGCAAATATCTCTAAACCGATATAGGCAAACGTACGTACTGCAAACGTTAACATTTATGGCGTGGTACTCACGCGTCGGGAAGCCTTACGTCTTTATTGGAATGACCGCTGTCATTCACAAGAGGCATTTCGGCGTTCTCGTCTACCAGCGAATTGGTTAAAGGAGGGGAACGAGGTCCTAGGAAAGTTACTCTTCACCTCTTGTATCAACGCAACGGTAACCTTCCTGTACCTCGTTGATAAGGCGCCAAGTTGTCTCCAAATCGTTGTTTTGGTCCCTCGGAAGACTTTGCTTGCCAGTTCATCCACTGTATCTTCGGTTCCGTGCCAGAAGCGTCTTTCCTGATGCCCTTCAGGGCATCATGCATCTCCGTGGAAGTTGCGCGAACGAGAAGATCATCGGCTCCGCTCCCATTGAAGCTGCTGTTGGTGTCTGATCGAATAATTCTCACATTATCCGGGCCGTTGGGCTCATGAATGGTGGTGCTGTTTTGGGCACTTGCGCTTCCAGATGATGCTGACCTCAGCTTACTTACCTCTATTACGAGTAGTCGTGTGCAAATGAGCTCCAGTAATCTTCGAATCACCGTATTTGGTGCGCACCTTGGATCTCTTCTGATCCAATCCATCCACTTCTGAACATCGGGGTTCATTTTGGCTGTTCCAGACCCGATAATTTCGAAGAACTGGCGGGTTCTGTTCACCGGATGTGTAATGTCTTCGCCAAAGCGAACCAGCTCGGCCTTTCCGTATAAAAGCCAGACGAGAAATTCGAAGTAAATACAACCAATAGACCAAATGTCGTACCGCCGTGACCGTGGTTGGTTCTTCGTTAGCAACAATACAGCCTCGGGTGGCTCGTACATGACGGTTCCGTTCAATGTTCGCGTAGCTTCGTTGCGCATTTCCGTCGCGAGATTGTGAACTCTGGCCAATCCTACGTCTGCGATAACGAGGAATGGTTGGGCAAAAGGATCAGCCCGTTTTCTGTCTTCAAAGCAAAGAATATTCTCTGGCTTGAGATCCCCATGTCGACATGTTCCCTGTGCAGAATGAAGCTTCTCCATTGCACCAGCCAGACCGCAGAGTTGATCCACAACCCAGCCAACGAAATCTGGATCTAGCTTTCGTGGAGAGTCTGTCCCCCAGAAATCTCGAAGGTTTCCGCCCTCAGCCCATGGAAATACCAGGAAATAATGGTTCTCTCTCTTGTAGTAGGCGATGGCCTTGATGAGGTGCGGGTGCTCAAGTCCCCGAATCATTTTCAGAACATCAGCCTCAGTCTCAGCCGCACGTTTATAGTCGGCCTCATTCATGTTCACGTTCTTCAACGACTTCACTGCTACTATTGGGTGCCCGCTTATGTCAACCGATACTCGCTGGATTACAGGTCAGTCTCGCTTCAATTGGCCGCTCAACAAGGACAAGCATGTCGAGGTTAGCTTTTGCTCACCAGTTTTGAGCTCTTCCGAAAATGAGCTTTGTGAATGCACCATTTTTCAACTGTGCTGAAGTGGCTTTCTCTATGCCCGCTTGGTTGCTTGAGAAATGGCATGCGATGCTCCTTGAGAAACGAGTATTCGAACTGGTGTTCGTTGAATATCGGGCCGAGAAACTGCCATTGGGCGTCACAAAAGATGTCGGGTGATTCTTCTTGCC